TTTACAGGACAGGCACATCATGGACACATCCATGCAAGGTGGAAACACCGTCTGCAAATATCCAACTCTGCCATTCGCACCAAAACTCTGGAAAGGCCCCGTTTTTTCGTCCATTGGCTGCCAACTAACCGACAATGACCAACCGACTGTAACCACAGGTAGGGCGTTTGTTTGCAACTCTGGATTCATCAGGTATGTCTCAGCCAGCAGCAATTCAAGTCAGCATACACACGAAAGCCGCCAAGCATCAACCCTTAAACCCAGGATAAGTCCTAGATCCCTAAAACCTTACAGTTTTGGCCTTCACTTGCTACAGTACCGTACTTAATGCTGCAGTAGAAAGGGTGGTGCGGGTATAGATGGCTTGTATAATGTAGTATTTGGGACATATCAGGGGATCTGCATCCACCGATTGGTGCTTTCCTGAAGTCGTGGTATAATGCATCTGCAGGACGCCCCTGCATGTCGACATGCCCAAACATTGCGTGTAGCTCTCCTAGCTAGATTGATGCTCAGTACTAGTATTTTCTCTAGCCAGATGCATGGCGGCAGGGTTACCTGCATGCATGTGTATGTACCTAGACAGCAATCTGTACTATTATGGTGGAAGGGCCCCCTATAGCTGTGGCTAGTTTTCTCACGTAGCTATAGGTCTGGGAGGCCAGGCACATCATGCTCAGGCGTACCAAGCCCAGGCAAGCGGGAGAGGATGTTAATAAACTGCCTCACTCGCGACCGGCACCACAATAATGGCCATTGATGTCCACTCCCATGAGGCCCCCGGCTTTTACAGACGGCCCCACACTTGCGTGGAGCTTGTAGAATGTAACCTGGTGATCTCAACATCGGCAGATAAGCCATCTCTTAAAGGACAAAGATTTGTGATCACAAGGTTGCAGGTTCAAATCTGGCATGAAGCAAAAATGGTCCTGCAAATGCAACTGACATTAGCCAGCTTTCTATCTGGCCATGTATCATGGTAAACTGTCCAAAAAACTTGAAAAGTGGGGCGGATGACTTCTAATAGGGTGCTGGAATGTGAGTTGGTCGAACAAACATCGAAACCGTGTTCCAGTACTGGTGGATGATGTCGGTAGTTAGGCAACACGGATATAGGGGCTGCCGGTGCATATACAGATTAAAATAACTGTTGACTACTAGCGACTCTCAACCCTTTCATCGCTGATGCACACCGTAATTCACACATATTATGCATGCAGGTTACGATTATTATTAGCAAAGAGTTGCGGATTCTTTACAGAATCCGTGCAGCATCCATTTATCACGGATGCATGGGCAAGCATTTGGTGTGGATGCTGTGGTCCTTGCTGGTCCCGACAGGAGGCCTTCAAAGCATCTCTTGGAAGAGGTGTGTGTATTCAATCCTTCGCTATAGTCTAGGCGGTTAGGATGCGAGATTCTCACTCTCGAGACCCAGGTTCGAGTCCCGGTAGCGAAAGGATGAGTCATGGAGTCGAGCTGAAGTAGGCACGTCACAGAGGGTCGACATCGTATAGTGGTCAGTATCCCCGCCTGTCAGGACTCGAGCCAAGACACGGAACGTGGGAGGCCGGGGTTCGATTCCCCGTGTCGGCGGTTTTCATCTCCACGACCGAGGTTCTTCATGGTGGTTTCGCTGAACCACCATCCTAGAACACTTGTGTTCACCACCTCTTCAAGGACACCTATTTGCGCATGCTTGCCTGGATACATATCCATAAAACATCAAAAGATGAAACCGAAACCTGGTATCACACCTGGTATCCAAGGATGTGGTATGGCATGGTAGCATGTGCATGCTGTGTATAGAGGGCCATGTTGACAACATATTCCTGACGAGCTCGAGGTGGCAATCGTGACTATTGTAGGGCCGTAGGGCCACCGACACACCCATGTCGTACCTTTGATGCTCGCATCCCCAGAATAGCAACTAGCTTATAAACTATGTCGTAAAGCCAAACATGCATGGTGCCGTTTCAGTGCTGGCTACATCAAGGAAAAACGAGTAGTAATACCTTAATACGGGCAGAAGGGGGAACAACTATATAGCACAAATGATCCAGTGATTCCCGAGTTCTCTTTAACAGATCATTCCTCCCTTCCTGCCTGGGTGTCGTTGGCATGTGACAGAGCGCACAATACCTAGGACATACACCTGGACCTGCAACCAACCAACCAACCAACACACACACACACACACACTCTTTGGGCATGTCAAACAACGAACTAGATGGATAGAGCACATGCATAGGTGTGCCTTCAATAAGGAGGTACCGAAAATCCAGCGTTGCCAACCTCGTATATATAGGACATACATAATATAACAGTACACATGTACATGGGCAAGTGGGCAAACAGGAAAGCTGTAACCGTTTTTGTGTTTGTTTCGCAGTCTTTGGATTTATGAGTAGTAGACTGCAGTATTGATGCATTTCCATGTGGCGACTTGGAAATCGTGCACTGCCCGGGTAGCTCAGTCGGTCGAGCGCAAGGCTCTTAATCTTGTGGTCGTGGGTTCGAGCCCCACCTCGGGCGTAAAAGGCGGTGGCAGAGCCACTTTTGACCTGGCTGGCAGCTACAACGCGTGCAGGCCATCATTTTCCAATCGCTCCTGGCCACCCCCATCAATCACGCCCACTTAGCAAGGCACTTGCTTGCTTTAGGAAAAGCAACGAAACTGCATTCAGCTAGTGTGCAGTATACTTGGCATCAGAGTTGTGGGATGACATGGAAAACAGAGCTGTTGGGGGTGGGCGGCCCAAAGTCAAGTAGCAAAGGCAGTTGCATTAGCAACAGCAAGGAAACTGCACTACAATGCGCTAGTGCGTGGTAGACTTGGCATCCGAACTGTGACACGACATGGAAAACCCAGCTGCTGTGGTGCTGTCACCGTAGGATGACAACCGCAGCTGCTGCAGGTTTGATGGCCGGAAGCCAGCGATCTGCTGGGAGTGCCTGTGGGAGTGCCTGTGGGACTACATGGACCAAAATCCAATGCCGCACCCGATGCGATTCGAACGCACGCGGGGAAACCCCACCGCCTTAGCAGGGCGGCGCCTTAACCACTCGGCCACAGGTGCACAGCAATCCGCAAGCTCCAGATTGCTGCTGAAGTTGAGCTAATATTG